ACCTTGACCAGAGAACAGGAGAAAGAATGAACAAACGTCGTCAAATGAGCTACAAACTTCACTTAGACAATTAGAGGTTAGATTCTGGGATGTTAAGGTGGATTATCATCTAGAACAAGCCACTGAAATAGGCCCTTAACAGTCAGAGAAAGACTGTAGCTCCTACAATTGCATGTTCAGAGTTAGAGATGAAACATTATATATATTTTCATCTCTGCCTGGAAGGTACTCACCCTCCCTTCTTTATTTCCTCTTTCATTTCCTGGATGTGCTGGGGGACAAGGCAAGGGGGTGATTGAACACAGCTCACACTTGGCCCTGTTTCTCTTGGGCTCTGTAGAGAACTTTCTCTGAGTCCTTCCTAGGCACAGCTGTCATGAGCAATGGCTGAAAAGGAACAGGACCAGGAGTTGGGGGAGTTCCATGAACCCAGAAAGCTCTGGTCACTAGCCAACCCTTGCCAGAGATCTGCCCCTACCCCATCCACCTGGCACTTCCCAGGGCCACGGCACAGATGGAGCACTCCTTCGGGAGGGTATTCAGAGGTCCCTGCTGGATGCTCTTTGAGGGCATCTTACCTTTTCCCAGAGTCAGTCTGATGTTGGATCCATTCTCTACAGACAGCAAACACAAGAGATAAGCTTACACTTGAGACATCCATGGAGGAGAGACATTGCTATCGCTCATGCTGAGCCATCACAGCCAGCATCCTGACACTCACCCTCCCCAGCGCCCTCTGCCCTCCCCAATAGTCACTCGAAGCTCCCATCCTGACTCATCCTGCCAGTACAAAATCAAAAGAATGGATTTTGGACAGCTGGGATAGTCATCATCTCTCACGCCATGTCTCCAATTCCTGTGGGGCCTGCCCTGTGCCCTCCTCCCCCACCCTCCCATGGCCTCTCACTCAATTCATTCTCCTCCTGGCACCAACAGCTATTTTCCACCACCCGGCTGGCCTAAGTTCAACCCACCTCCCCAAGGGGTTGTTGCTCCCACTTCATCTGTCTCCCTCATGCTCCTCCTGCTGGAACTGGATCCGCTGGTTCTATTTCTGGATTCTTTCCATTGGCCTCTCTTGGACCAGGCAGCTTGCCTCATCAGCCTGTCTTGCATTTCTCTGGCCTCTGAGGAGCATCTTTGCAATCCTCCTACGGCAGGTGGAGAGTTATAGTCAGCAGCCGCGTTCTCTGACGGACTCCCCCTCACCATCTTCCTCACTGTGGCATAGAAATACAGAACTTCCAGGGACATGAAGACTTTATTATCATTTCATATCCCTAAAAGATATTCTTGAGTTTTTTTTCTGCAATGGTCCAACACGGGGCTTAGAGGAGAACATCTATCTCTTCCAGGTGAATCTCATTTTCATGTCTGATGTGGGAGTGTCATATATCAATCTGTTGATTTCATTGGTTAAGTAATAAACACACTGCTTGGCCTCATAGGTTAAAGCATTGGTGGGAGGAGTAAACAGAATAGGATTCTGGGCGGAAGAGGAAGTAAGGTCAGACTCTGCTCTGCTTCCAGAGGGACCGGACAGCTCTGCTCTCTGGAGCAGAGACGCCATGCTCTGCTCTCCCAGGCAGCTCCAACCCACGATGGACTTAGGCTAGAATCTTCCCGGTAAGCGCACCTTGGGGTGTTTACACACATTACTAGAAATGGGTTAGAACAATATGTAAGAGCTAGCCAATAAGAAGCTGGAACTAGCCGGGCCAAGCAGTGTTTAAATGGATACAGTTTGTGTGTTGTTATTTCGGGCATAAGCTAGCCAAGCGGCCGGGGTGTTGGGGACGCAGCCCCGCCGCTCCTATTTCAACACATGTCCCCAACTCAATTCTTTTTCCTGTTTTTTTTCATTCCCTGCTTTTTCCCACTGTCCAGACGTAGACAGCACACTCTTACCCTCCTACATGTAACGCATGTCTTTACATATTATGTGGCACCAGAACATTCCATGGACATATCCACTACTCACTTCTTTCTGGCTTCAGTGACTTTTTTTTTATTTTTTTTAAATATTTATTTATTTATTTATTATGTATACAATATTCTGTCTGTATGCCTGAAGGCCAGAAGAGGGCGCCAGACCTCTTTACAGATGGTTGTGAGCCACCATGTGGTTGCTGGGAATTGAACTCAGGACCTTTGGAAGAGCAGGCAATGCTCTTAACCACTGAGCCATCTCTCCAGCCCCTTCAGTGACTTTTTATCCTGGGATGGATGCTTCTTCTTAAGCTAGGAATGTCAGTGCTTTCATTTCCTCTATTTGCTCATCCAGCCAGTTACCAAGGCTCTTGTGCTGAGCAAGGTGCCCGACCACTAAGCTTCCAGGATGATTTCTATTTTTTTGAATTGTAAAATAAAACTCTACTATGTTTCCCAAACTGACCTTAAACTTGCTCTGGAGGCCAATCAGACATGGAATTTGTGATCTTTCTGCGTTGGTCCCCCATGTCTCTGGGATTGTAGGACTGTGCCTTCCAACCCTACTCAGGTCTTATATCATGGTCCCTCTGCTCACTTGGGCTCCCTTCTCCTGCTACATTTACTTCTACAGAGCTGTGCCCCATCCTACCCATACCTAGTGTTTTAAGGATCTTGAAAATCGTCTTTCCTGCCGACTTCCTGTTAGGGAAATGCAAAGAGGTTTCTATTCAAAAATATTACTTCTGTTGGTTTTCTCTTTGCTTTTAAAAATACTTAAAAGTCCACATTGACAACTGCAAATGTATATACATAAATATCCACGTACATATGTGTATCTATATTATGCACACACATATACACACAGCCCACACTTTCATCTGAAAATATCTGTACATAAATATCTACGTACATATGTGTATCTATATGTATACATATATTCCTCCCTTTCCTTCCTACTCACTCCTTATACTATAATAGTCAATCCTATGATGGAAATACAGAAATTTTTCTCACAAAAAAATCCTTCAAAGATCACAAAAAGTCACCCCTGTTCACACCTCATCTCAGATAGCCAAAGTTACAAATCGAGTTTTGAAAGAATATACCATTGCACTTACTCCTGACTAATTGCTGGCCTGCTGGGGGTGCAGGAGGTCACACACTTTTCCTTCCTGATTAAAAGGAAACCATCTGAATCCAGTGGCAGGAAGCACATGTTCTACTCTCGACTCCTTACAATCTTGTCATCATAGTACTGTAGGGAAAGCATCAACACCCGCCCTACCTTGTCTTCATTCTCTGCTTCACAAATCCCTGTGGTTGGAGTCCCCAGTCTCAGAAATTTGATTTTTTTTCAGTTATTGCTATACTGCATCTCGTTTATTATATTATTAGAGAGAATTTATCAGTCTGGCTCTGAAAAAGAACTGTGATGGAGCTCTTTCTTTTGAAAATATTCTTCTTTTCGCCTCCGTGTGTTTCATTTTTAGATCTCGCTAAATAATGCCCTAGGCAAGCACTGAAACTCCTCAAACCCGGACGTCACACATGCAAAATAAAAAACAGTGGTAACTACTAGGAGATCAGATAATGACAAGTGGAAATACGTGTAATGACTGTCACATGGTGAGATACAACCCATGGTCGTTACCGTCATGTCGTTAGCATCCATCTTTGCTTCTCAAACAATTCCTAGTAGGTCGAACTGAAAATATTTTTCCATAATACCCAGGTTGGTTGTGGCTGTAGGAGGCAGTGCCGTTGGCAACTGGAGTCTGCTTTTCTTTGCCTGCAAGTAAAACGATCTGCTTGCAGAGGATCCACTCCCAAAGTGGGGCTGCAGATGCTACCGTCGAACTTGGCTTTTGCGAGTGGATCTGTGCCTCTGCTACATTCCCAACCAAGTACAATAAATTTGGAGTTTCTGTCAAACTTTTATTTCCCTCACCTACTCGGGACAAATGAGGGCTGACAGTGTTCAGTGCAAAATATTCAAACACTTGTAGGCTGCTTTGTACACTTTGCGGATTGTGTTTACTCAGCTTCCTGTCACGCTAGCAAAGCCACTGAGATAAATTACAAAGGAAAGAAGAGCTCCTTTAGCTGGAAAGTTCTGCAGATTCTAGCCCGTCATTGGCAGTTCCCGTTTGCTTTGGGTGAGTCGGCACACATTGACAGGAATCTATGACAGAGCACTGTCACTTGGAGTAGAGTAGGAAAGTGAGAGAGGAATGCACTGTGGTAGGCCTGAGAATCCTCTCTGAGCATGTCCCCGATGATCTAAGAATCTCCTGCCAGGCCTCACATCTCAGGGTTCTGCCACCGCCCAGTGGTGTCATCCTAGTAATGAGGCCTTGAATGTGGAGCCATTGAGAGACAATCAAATATCCAAAAGACAAAAGGGCTATACAAGGAACTTTTTGAAATCAAAGAGAAAAGGACAGAATATCCGATTTTTTATTAATTTTTTATTTATTTTACATATCAAACACAGTTTTTCCTCCCTCCTCTCCTCCCATTCCTTCTCCCCCACCTCCTTCTTATCCCCGCTACCATCCACTCCTCAGAAAGGGTCAGGCCGCCAATGGGAGTCAACAAAGCACGGCATATTAAGTTGAGGCAGGACCAAGCTCCTTCTCCCTGCAACAAGACTGAGTGAGGCATCCCACCAGAGGCAATAAATTCCAAAAAGCCAGCTCATGCACTGGGGACAGACCCTGGTCCCACTGCTAGGGACCCCACAAACAGACCAAGCCACCCAAGTGACCAAATTTTTTTTAATTAATTAATTTATTTTTTATTGAAAATTTCCACCTCCTCCCCTCTTCCCAATTCCCTCCCCTCCTCCCCCTCCCCTTTCCCCTCCCTCTCCGGTCCAAGGAGCAGTCAGGGTTCCCTACCCTATGGGAAGTCCAAGATCCTCCCTGCTCCCCCCAGGTCCAGGAAGGTGAGCATCCAAACAGACTAGGCTCCCACAAAGCCCATCCATGCAGTAGAATCTAAACCCAGTTTTTTTGTCTTTGGCTTCTCTTTCAGTCTTCTTTTTCTTTCACTTTCAGAGATTCTTTTTTGATCATATGCTCCATCAGTTCCAGTCCAACTGGCCTTGGTGATCTCCCATTAGATCAGTCCCACCCATTTTAGGGTTGGCAAGAGACCAATTTTTTTTATACATAACTGAGACCTACATGTGAAATAAGAAGATATCATTTTATACCTATGGAATCGAAAGGCATCGTGAGAAAACAGGAAGAGACAAGGTGTTTGTGAGGATATGCTCACAAAGTCAGGATGGCAACATAATTTGGTAATTGAGTAAAAGAGCCTGAAAATTCTCAATCAAATCAGGGGTACATTTAAATACACTCTGTGCCCTATAGTCAGACTCCTGGGTAATATCTCAGGAAAATTACCCACAGGTACCCAGAGAAAATCCTGCGGGAGGATGGTGGGTTAGACAGGAAATGCACCCCCCACAGGCTTTGTGCTGCTGTGCTCTGGGAAGGTGGTGCCACCTTTAGGAGGTAGATCCTACTGGGAAGAAGGGACTTCACTGGGAGAATGTCCTTGGATGCCATATTGGGACCTGACCCCTCTCTCGTTTACTACCCAGATACCTTATGCTGAACATATTTACTGACTCTGACCACCTTGGCGCGACACTCTCTGTCTTGCCATAGGAACAACGTCATGCGGCCACGTGACCACAGACTGAAAGCTCTGCAACCGTGAACCCAAATAAATCTTTCTTCCTTTGAGGTTGCTTTTCTCGGCTATTTGTCACAGTAACTGAAGGCCAGTGGGAAGAAGAACTCCTTGAAGTGTCACTTACCACAGGAGGGAACTGCAAACAGTTTAGCTGAGAAAACAATGGCGGTTGCTGAGAAACTCGGTGGAGAGGCCCTAGGTGCTTCTCAAAACCCACTCCCTTAGGCAAAGGAGTGTGAAAATAACGCATCTATTTGCTTACTATAACTGCAGATAATTTTTAAAATCTACAAAAGGAAAGGAAAAAAAATACCACTTGTAACCCTACCATCTAGAAGCAAGTGACATTTGGATGTATCCACCTCCAGGAAGTCTTTCTTTGCTGTTTTAAAAATATAGTGCATCCTTAATATAAATGCGGGCTTAATTCAAATCATATGTCTTTTATACTCTGGAATCTGCTTCTGTCATATACAAAATATATTGGGAAAAGACTTTTCTCCTCCATCCGTCAAGGACCAAACAGGAAACAGATGGTACACTCAAAATAGGATGAGTCCAGAGGGGTTTATTCGGAACGGACTATTTACTAAAGTATGTGTGGGACATAAAGTGACCTGCATCCCGCTTTGTCTGAGATCATCCTAAGCCATATCTACTGCCTCGATATCATATTCAGTGTGATAGTTCCAGTATCTCCATTTTAAATAAAGATTTACGTGAATTCATGCATTACAATCAGTGGCATTGGTTTGGGAAATTACACTCCTAGCAGCTGCCATGGGATCATTTCAAAGTGTATGGTTTGAAGATGGTTGTGCCTTAAGCCCATGGGAAAGTAAAAGCAAACTTAGGGAGTGAGGGTTGACTGTGGTTCATAGTTTGAAAGCACAGCCCATCATGGTGGGGAGGGCATGGCAACAAGAGCATGCATGAGACAGCCGGTGACATTGTGCCCACAGTCAGGAAGCAGAGATAGGTGGACGACGACGCGCTTTGCTTACTGTCTTAGTCAGGGTTGGCTGTGATGAGACACCATGACCAAAAGCAACCTGGGGAGGAAAGGGTTTATTTCACTCACAGTTCCATCTACCGATTCATCATCAAAAGCAGTGAGGGCAGGAACTCAGGCAGGGCAGGAACCTGAAGGCAGGAGCTGATGCAGAGGCCATGGAGGAGTGCTGCCTCCTGGCTTGTTCCTCGTGACTTGCTCAGCCTGCTTTCATAGAGAAGCCAGGTGGCCCAACTCAGAATGGCCTGGGTTCTCCCCAATCAATCAAGAAATTAAGAAAATGCCATGCAGGCTTGCCCACAGTCAGATGGTAATGGAGACATTTCCTCAGCTGAGGTTCCCTCCTCTCAGGTGACTCTAACTTGTGTCAAGCTGATGTAAAACCAGCCAGCACACTCACTTTCTCTCTTACTTAACCTAGGACCCCAGCCTCCAGAATGGTACCTCCACATTTCGGATGGGTCTTCTCACCTCAGTTAATCCAGTCTCCAACTCCCTCACAGACAGTTCCAGAGATTGTCTCCTAGGTGACTTCGGATGCTGTCAAGTTAGCAATCAGCGTTAACTCATTAAGACCCTTTGTAAATTGAAAAGATGTAAGTTAACAATTCATTTAACGCACTCAACCCACCAAATAGCACAGCTCATTCGCACATTGGAGAGCACCCTCTGTTTGCCCACACAGTTGCAGAAACCCCTGAGCACCTGTAATTACTTTCTGCTAAGTTTCAGGAGACAGTATTATAGTATATAGCACTAGCCCAGGAAAACATCCAACTCCAAAACCTGAAATATCATTTCTACTAAATTCCCTTTAGTTTAACCATGTTAAAAAATGAAACAAAAACAAACATCAAAACCTTAGAAGTGAAGTCATCATTAAGTTCGAGACCATCTCTTTTTGGTTCCATTGTTGCTGATAACCACTTGTGTCTATAGCCAGTGGGCAGTGGGATATGCCAAAGCTAAGAACTACTCATAGCTATCAGGATAAAAGCAATGCCTTGGAGGATGGGGAATTATGGGTTAGATATACATGAGATGCGCATTGAAGCCATACAGCAAAACATGCCACAGTGGCATTTTGTCACTTGCTCTTCTGCTTTGTAAAATAAGCTGCAATTCATTCTTGTTATTGTTCTTTTGTAAAAATTGATTTTCTAATAAATTCTTCCAATAGTCCATTAGCAATGAATTCTTAAAACGAAAAGAAAAAGAAACGTAAGCGCACGTTTAATGAAAATTTACTGACTTTTCATTTCTCTAGAAACCTGATGAATAAGTAATTGGTACAAAATTTTTGCCAGTGTTTACTATCCAGCACAGGGAATAAAATGTAAAGAAATAGGCATATGCTGGGAAGAAAGCAGCAGCGTTCATTTCATTAGAGAGCGATTGTGAAAGACCAGGACCCCTAACAATAATTTTACATACGCAGATCTCCATATCAATGAACTTTGACCTTTCAGTTGTATTAAATGAGTTTCTGAATGAAAGCAGTTAAAAACACAAAAGGATGCCAGCCAGCTTGTTGGTTCAACAGTTAAAGAAGACACACGACAAGCAAATAAAGCCAGTTTTAGATCCATGTTTTCAGGGGACGGAAATACAAAACTGGCTATGTGTATTTCAGAACCAAGCCTCGATTTTAAATTCAGTTCATGGAAACAGACAAAAGTGATTTTTTAAAGCTGATTTTTATTGAGTTCTACATTTTTCTCTGCTCCCCTCCCTGTCTTTCCTCTCCCCACTTCAACCTTCCCTCAAGGTCCCCATGCTCCCAGTTTACTCAGAAGATCTAAGACAAAAGTTTTTAACATGGTATAAATCAGGAAAACTATAGACTCAGTTGAAAATTTTAATATTGAAGAAAAATTATTTATTCAGGCAGTAGTGACATGAACGTAAATTTTGGTAAAGAATAAAAACATGGCTCTTAAAAGCAATATTCTCACTAAATGATAAAAATCAATGAACAATAATGTGCTTCTAACTGGGTGGAGTACAGACTTAAGTCCTTATTCATCCAAGAACTCAACATTTCAAGTAGAGACTATAGTTGTCAAAACTTATGAGCATTTCTGTTTATTCATATCAACATCTATAAAATTTTGTGTTAGAGGTGATGCTAGGTTTTAAATTAAATAAAATATTTTTATTAAAATGCTTTCACATAGCAGTGAGTATGCTCTCTCTTGTTTTGTGATATCAATTATAGAAATTTTGAAACAATTAAAAGCAGGCTGGATGGTTCAGTGGGTAAACGTGCTTGCCCCCAAGCCTGATGACCTGTGTTCAATGCACCCGGACACCCACATAGTGGACGTGAGAACTAACTTCTACAAATTGTCGTCTAACCTACACATGTTCTCTGTGGCATGTATAACATGTACATACATACAAGCCCATGTGCACACGTATACAAACACAAATTTAAAATTAAATTAAATTAAAAAAGAAATGAAAAACTACATTAGAGGTGTCCTAAAAGTATAGGAAATGTTTTACAAATAAGCTTTCCAAATTTTAATCATACACCCTTTAAAATAACTTGAGCTCTTTAATATTCAGTGAATAGCATTCTCTCAAATCTTCAACTTTTGAATCTTTCCATCAATTTTAATGTTGTAATCAAAGCTTGAAAAAAAAAGCCAGGGGGAACAACAAACTAGATAATGGATGCTAAAAGTGTTAATTTTTAATTCTGAAAAATCCGTATTTAGGTTTTAAATCTCTTTGTTTTATTTCACTATTTTATGTTTCTGGGTGTTTTGCCTGATGAGTGTCTGTGTTCTGCATGCCTTTCTGGTACCCTTGGGGACCAGAAGAGAGAGAGTCAGATCCCCTGTAACTGAAGTTATAGGCAGTTTGAGACACCTTGTGGGTGCTAGGAATTGAACCCATCTTTCCAGACTGAGGTTGCTGTGTCTTAACTCATAGAAAGAAGTTTCACATGGAGTTTTAATTTTCCATTAACTAAATGAACAATCTACATCGAGATGGAACAGCAGAGGGCTGTCATTTCATGGGAACTAAATTTGTCTAAGCATTCACATGAATACTTCAACACAATTCTTGACGTGTTTTCCTTATAAAAATCTTTCTTGCTATACCTGCCTGTGGGCATAAGGATAAGATTTGGAATGTAGTGAGGGATTATGCTGGTCTAGCAAAGTGATGCTGACAGGTTCTTTTCTACGGTCCATGATGTCATTAGTCTCAGGAAGCCCCCTAGGTTTCCAGGACTATGATTTTCCTCCTATTCAGCAGGCCTTAAATTCAATTAGCCAGCTGTTGGTTGCCACCAACATATGAGTGGCACTTATTGAAACCTCACAAATGCCTTATCATGCCAGTCATTGTCATTGTTATTGCAGGTGTACAGGACTGTTCAATTGCTTACCTCCCTTCACAGTTAACAAGGCTTTTTCTGGAGCCATGGGAGCTAGACGGCAGGAAAAGAGGCTTTCAGGTTAGATCAGCCGAACCAGCTGCTTTTTGTGCCCTAGGTGTGCGGTGTCTTCATCAATAGGAACATACCCTCAACCTCTGAGAGGCAATGAAGGACTAAAGTGATCATTTATATTATAGGAGTAACTTGGACTACCCTGACCAATCATTCAAAATTTTTGTTAGCTTATGATCCTTTTGGGGAGTATTATCAGCCAAGTGTTTTTACCTTCTTTAAGATACCCATGGGTGTGGGGTAGATATAATTTTAGCTAAATATAAAATCGTATGATTCCTTGAGACTTTATCAGACAACTTTGATGTGATTTGTCTCTTGTCCCCTGCCTATCTCATCTTCTCCTACTGTATCGACCCTCCACCCTCCTACCCAGTTGGAAGCCACTCTCCATTTTGTATCACCTGTATCCTGTCCCAACTCAACCTATTTTTCTTTTATATTATCCTGGTTTCTGTGGTTACTCCATGGTGTATCCTCACCTCTGAGGATTTGGAGCCAGGAACAGGAGATGGGACAGTGCATATGGTGTTTGTCTTTCTGGACCTGGGTTACTTTGTTCAATATAATTTATTTTAACTTCATCCAACTACCTGCAAATTTCATGATTTCATTTTTCTTTACATCTTATTAGCCACCCACTGTCTGTCTATGTATACATTTTCACTATTCACTTGTCAGTTGAAGGCATTTAGGTTGTTTCCATTTCCTGGTTATTCTGACTAAGGAATCAATAAGTAATTATGACCGAGCAAGTATCTCTGCAGTGGAATCTCAAGTCCTTTGGGCATATGCCAAGAGGTGGTGTAGCTGAGTTCCAGGAAAGATTGACTTTGAATACATTTTTGAGGATTCGCCATACTAATTTCCAGTGTGCTTTCCCAGCAACAGTGAAGCTCCTCTTCCTCTGCAATCTAGCCAATATACAATCAGTTATTTTGTTGATCCCTTAGCCATCCTGACTGGGGCCGGACGGTATCTCACTGTTCTTTTACTTTTAATTTCCCTAGTTGCTAGAGATGGTGAACTCTTACTGAGCGCTTTATTAGCCATTTTTATTTTTTCTATTGAGAACTCTCTACTTAGATGCCTAGTTCCTTTTTCTTTAATTGGGTTGTTCCCTTGACTCTTTGTTTTTTGAATTCTTTGTATGTTTGGGATATTAGTCGTCTATCAGATGTAAGTTAGCAAAGATGGTTTTCATCTCCACTCACTTGATCGTCTCTTTAGCCACACAGAAGCTTCCTAGTTTCCCAGTGTCCCTGCTGCCAATTGTTGGCCTTGATGCCATGGCAAATGGAGGTCTGCTCAGAAAGTCCTTCCTACACCTATACCTTTGAAGATGCTGTTTGTGTTTTCAACCCTAGTCAAGGACTAGAGGCAACTAATGACTTCTGGGAGAAGACATAGTCTTTTCGAGAGATGAGCACCCTTCCTGGTTGCCCAGTGCAAAGTGGTCAGCGCTAAAACCATAAACACACAAACAAAAAAAACTCAGAAATTGTATTTACACACATATATCCATAACAATATACATATACACACATATAGAAATGTATGCAACAAAAATAAAGAAAATGGCTATCAACTTGAGAGTGGAGGGACCAGAGGGACCCAAGAGGTGCATGAAGGAGGGTATCTGGAATAAAATGTAGGGGAAAAAAGGGGTGTGATTCTGTTTCAATTTAAAAATAAATTCTAGAAAAAAATGTTTCTTGAAAATAGGGAATCCAACTAAAAATTTAAAAAGATAACTAACAACATAAAATTTGGGGCTGAAATTTTATATACTATAAGACAATAACAATTTGAAATATACATTCAGGCACTCCAGAAAGTATTTTCATAACTAGTAAAAACATGATGCACATAAGACAATCAGTTGGAGGTGTCAGCATCAAATATATTAAACATAAAATGCAAATTTGAAGAAAATTAAAGAAACGTCATTTTAAAATTAAAATTCTTAGACAATCTTGTAAAATATTCTTCATTAAACTAGTGACACAATGATAAATAAAGGCACATGGTTATATATCAAGAATAATTATTATTATGAATGTGTATCTTCTTATTAATATATATTAATTATACATAATAGTGTACTTCAT